GCAGTATGTAGCCTTTTCAGATCAACTCTTTTTTCCTTTTAGTAGTAGGCATTTGAGCTCCTGCATATCATTTCCTGATATGATAGCTTATGTTCTTTCCATTGATGAGTAGTTCATCTAGTTCATTGCATCCATGTAGCATAAGTTTTTTATCCATTTACCTATTGCAGGGTGTCTGGTTATTTTCAAATGTATGCAATTATGAATCAAATTGCCATAAGCATTTGAGTGCAGATTTTTGTGTGGACATAAACCAAATGATTGGTAAATATCAAGGACCCCAATTTTGCTGGGACATCTGTAAGAATATATTTAGTGTATTTTTTAATGTTTTCATTAGTGCATTATAGTTGTACATAATATTGGGGCTCATTTTGATGTAATCACAAGTACACAGAATATAATTGCTCTACTTTAGTCCCTAATACTTCCTTTTTCCCCTCCCCTTCTCCCTCCTTCAACCCCCTTCCTTACTCTTCTGGTCTCCGTACTATTTTTTATGATATTCCTTTTATATTTTGTTTTTCTCCCTATCTTCTGCATGTGAGAGAATACATTTGCCCCTGTGAGTGTGATGTATTGTTAGCATGGTGTTCTCCAGTTCCATCTATTTCCAGCAAATGTTTGTGTACACTTTGAAACTTAATTGTTTTTGTATTAAAATCCACTTAATTTTACATTTCAATAACTTTAAATTTAAAATATAGCTTTTCTAAGTAGTTCATATTTGGAGCTTACTTTTCTCTCATATGAAATCTTGGGGGAGGGGGAAGATGCCATGAAGGTAGAAGGGAGACTACTAGAGAATAGGAAGAAGAAGGAGATCTGGGAGTGGTAGGAAGGAGTGTATTAGGGGTAGAAATGATCAAAAATGTTATGTGCATGCACAAATATGCCACAATGAAGCCCATTATTCTGTATAATTTTATATTAATCAAATTTGAAAATCTGGAAAAATACTTCGATCATTCTTATAATCTTTGCATTTTTATATGTGTATTAGACATATTAAAACATTTAAAGTCATTTTCCTGTGGAGATTTAGATCCACCAAAAATGCTTTCTGTGGTTCCCTCTTACTTTTTTCTCTCTAATTCCCCCTTTCTACTTTTTTATTCGATTTCTTTGTTGCATTTATAAAGTGTAATAATACTTCACATAGATTATGAAACTCCAGAAAACATATTTTTTTCATTATATAGACATATATTTTAATTGGGAGGAAAACATTATTTTATAGTCACTCAAACATTAACCACTTTTGATACTTTTCTTTGATTTCTGAATTTCTAACATTCCCCAGTATCCTTTTTCTGAAGTCTAATAAATTTTCTTTTGCTTTTCTTGTGGTATGATGCCGATGACAGTACATTTGCTTAGATTTCTTTATTTTATTTTATTTATTATTTATTTTAAAATTTCTTATTTTATTTGTTCCTTTTAGATGTACCTTGTATTTGAATACATGTCCAGGGTAACTTCACATCATGTACAACCACAATAACAGGATCCTAATTAGAATAAGGTATACTCCATGTATGAACAATTTGCTAAAATACATTCTACTGTCATGTATATCTAAAAAGAATAGATTTCTTTATTTTAAATAAATACTTTATTTCACCTTCTCTGAATATTTTCTCTAGATATAAAATGCTGGCTGTTTTTTTTTCTTTTCCTTCATTTTGAACTTTAGTACAATTATACCATTGTTCCTTGGATTAATAATTTCTGATGTGAATCCTTGGTCGTATGACTCTCTTTCTTTTGTTCTGTCAAGAATTCTTGGAGTTTGCTGAGCTCCTTCAATGAATGTGTGTGTGTGTGTGTGTGTGTATGTGTGTTATAAAATTGAGATATTTTTAGCTATTCTTCTAATCATTGTCTGCCTTTTTTTCAATTTTGTTTTCTTCCTGGGCATCCACCTACATATGTAAGAGCTATCTTACATTGTTTCATAAGAGACTGAACACTGTTGCTTTGTTCTTTACTTTTCTCTTTGTTTTATGAATTGAATAAGATAAGTTGATCTATGATCAGGTTTGCAGACTCTTTCTTCTGTCTTCCTTTCTTCTTCAAAGTCTGTCCAGTGAATATTTTTCATAAACATTGGATTCTTTTATTTGATGTTCAAAATCCTTTCTCTTACTCTGGTTTTGCTTTCCTTTTATTTGTAACAGGTATATATTGCATTACTATGTTGATCATAGTTGTACTAGTGGCTTTTGTTTCTTGTCTGATAATTCTAGCATCCAGACAGTAAAGGCTAACATCTATTAGTTATCATTATATTTTTTTCCTATGAAAATGGGTCACATTTTCATGGCACTTCCTATGTTAAGCAATTTTGCATTGCTTGTGGATATTGCAGGTATTGCATCATGTTGTGGAGCCATGAATCCTTTTGTTTTCCTCCAAAAAGTGGTTTTGTTCTTTTTAAGAGGGAGTTTCATTTGGTGTAGCTCAAAATGCAAAATTCATCACCCTGGAAGTTGAAAGTAGCTCAAATATCAGTTCAGATTACAATTATAACCCATGGGCATGAATGACTTATGGGTTAGCCAAAGGTGTATAAATGTATACATAATATATTTGGTTTCTCTTCTCTGTCTTTCCCTTTTTTAAGTCTGCGTCCCTTCATATGCCTGGCTCTGTTCCCTATTTCTTCTTGTAGGCTTGCTATGAAGTTTTTGTTACCCTGTGTTGCTGTGATAATCACAGCTGCTCTCAGGTCAAAGCAACAAAACTGGGGAAAAATATGACATGTAAGTTTCTTCCTCCCAGTTTTAGTTTCCCCCAATAACTGCCTATTTTATTTCATTTTTATCCCTTGTGTGATGATTTTATAGATTTTAATCCAGAGCTTATAGTTGTTATCTGCAAGAAGTACAATTTACGAGGAGCTTACTTTTCCTTATTGGTAGATCTCCTAGCATCTGGTATTCCCTCCGTCATTATTAATGTTTCATTTGTCTGTGGTGTCAGGAAGCAAATCTCATTTTAATATCTTCTTGATAAGAAATCCATCCATGTTCTTTAACTTTTATCCTTAGTAATACTACTCCTATTATTAAGACGATTCACATATAAAAAAAAGCTTATGTTTATCCAACGTTAGCTCACTTCCAGTTTTTGATAAGAGCTTTCTATGTGATGTATTTCTATAAGAAATGTATAGATGTATTTCTATAAGATAGAAATCCTATAAGGTAGAAAAATATTTTTTTCAAATTGGCAACTCTACCTTGTCCAAGTCCAGTCAGGTATTAAGTGTCAAAAGCAGGATTAAAATGCTAAAAATGCCCACTTTCTTTAACACAACACTAAACAAAATGAAAAAATATATATATATTTTTTACTTTAATAGTGTTTTTTTTCCAATTTCTTCCTTACCATTCATGTTTTTTACTTTTACTGAAAGAAATAACAACCACCAAGCACTCCTGAATGACCTCTAATCTTATCATCAGATTTTAAATGTGTTACATAATCAACAGATACCATTTGGTGAATCCGTAGCATTATTAGAGTCATCACCATGTACTAATTTTTTCTGAGTATGCACATTGTCCACTGGAGCTATTCTGGACTTTTATTTATAAATATTTAAATAATTTGCAATTACAATCTTAGTTTGGGCTGCTGTTAAAAAATATAATAGAAGGAGTGGGTTATAAACAACAAAAACTTATTTCTCACAATTGTCTAGACTAGAAAGCCTGCAGTCAAGGTACTAGGGGGGTCAGGTAAGAACTGACTTCCTAGTTTACAGACATTGTCTTCATATTGCATCCTCCTATGGTTGAAGAAGCTTCGGAGTTCAATGTGGTCTATTTCATAAGAACATCAATCCCATGAGGGTAAGATGCTCATGACTTAATGATCTCCAAAGGCCACATCTTATAATACTATCACAGTTGGAGCTGGGATTTCATCATATAAATTTGGGGAGCAGGGAGAGACACCAATATTCAGTCTAAAGCAAGTACCAACTTTTATAAGAACTATTTCTTTCTGCATTTAGATAAACAATCCCTCATATCTACCTATGCTTTGATATTCCTTTCTTTCCCAGCAATATGTCAAATAGAACTTTCTATGATGATGGAATTGCTCTATATCTCCACTGTCCAATATGGCAGCCACTAGTCAGATGTTACTTTGAACATGTGATGTATGGGTAGAATAGAATTTTTTATTTTAGTTAAATAGAATTAACATCTACATGTGACTATTGGCTACTATATAAAACATCTTTGTGCTTCTTTTAAAAAATGTATTAACTATAACTGTGAGGCATAGTTCTCTAAAAATCTGTCTTGATTTATTTAATTCATTATATAATTATTTAGGGTGTGAGTATTGTAAGATTTCATTTTAAGCATGAATTGGATTTTTTTAAGTTTTATCATTCAAACATTTTCTATTTTATTATATATACAAGTTTTTCTTCTTTATACACACACACAGTTAAATCCATTAACCTCTACTGTTACATAAAAATGTGAAATAATGTGTCCTTTAGATAAATGGCCACTGTAGTTGTTTTCCTTTTACCATTCCTTCTAAATATGTTAATAATATCAGTCAATATTTTTTTCTTCCATAGAGATTGCTATTAGGTCAAATGCTGTGTTAGTTGTGCTGCAATTCTGGAGGCTTCTGACTCACAGTAGTGTTTCAGAAAACTTTTTTTTTTTTGCATTTGTCTACCTATTCAATTTTGAACTAATTGCTATAATTAATGCTGATTGAAATAAGTACTGTTACCCTCTTCTTCAGTTACTGTTTACTCTTACAGTTTACTATTACTTTTACAGTTTACTGTTACCCTTTTTTATTGTGTCCTCAATGTAAATGGTCATGTTTGTACACGTTTTGAACTATGGAGTTGATCACTTAACACTCCAATTGCTTGAATATTTTTACTTTATATATTTGAAGCTTTTAAATTATTTTTTAAATTATTCTCATAATATTTTGACTTTTTGTCATTTCAGGATCATCAGACTATTTTGAGGGCATGGGCTGTAAAAGATTTTGCTCCAAATTGTCCTTTGTATGTCCAGATATTAAAGCCAGAAAATAAATTCCATATCAAATTTGCTGGTAAGTTTTAATCCTGAATGAGATTCTTTGAATTTCTTCCAGCTCTCATTGTAATTTAAAAGCTGTGTCTTTGAAGTTAGTAGCAACTAAATGTATTCATCTTACAAAATAGAAAGGATTTTCTTTTTTATCGTTTACTTGTTGTAAATGAATTTCCTCACTTTAATGTATGAAACTATAATTTGGGGAGAGATCCTTTACTTTTAAATGTAACTTGGTAACTTTAAGAATTCAGCTTACTGGATAACTTTGTAAACCTAAGTTGATTGGCAGTTGATTTGTACACAATAGGAACACACATTTCAAATCCTTTCTTCATTTATCCTTAAGTATATATGTAGAATAATACTTTCCTATAGATTATTTAAAACACGGATAAGTTTGTCCCACTATAGAATAATGTATTAACATGTTTTGGTACATTTAAATACATTTAATTTGGGGTGTAGACTTTGGAAAATTTTCAAGAAAAAGATATCTGTGTGAGTTTTTTGAAAGCAATACTTTTAAGAGAATTGATCACGAGATTTTTTTCCTTTGAATTGTTAGGAAATTGAACAATGAAGTGGTGCTTGATTATTTGTTTCTTAAATGCTTCCATGGGAGAAAGGAACTAATTTTAATTCAGGCAGTGAATCACATACATATTGTTCCCCAAATATAACAACTGTATTGTGTTTTATATTTTACCTTAATAGCCTGAAACATCAAATTTATTATAATGTAGGTAATTTTAGCAATGTGTCAGCAAAATGCTTTTCCCTCAGAAGACGTGTTCACAAATGTTAAAATGCTTGCTTGTTAGCATATGATATTGAAATAAAAAATTCTAACCCTAAGGTATTAAAATAATAATAGGAAAATCAAGAGAATATTGCTATTCTATTTCTTCTGTTTTATATATACTAGCCTTCCATTGCATCATTATTTTTTTTTCTGAAAATGTAGAGTGAACAACTTCAAGTAATGTCTTTCATACTTGGCTACATATTAATATCTGTTTGGAAGACTTTTTTTAAAGTAATAATTAGAGAGATTCTTATTTAAATGGTCTGAGATAATGCTAGGGCTTCTTTAATCCTATTGCTTTAACTCAAAACTAAAGGTACATCTTTTGTAAGTGATCCTGTGAACAAAGTGGAAAAAATACAAGTAAAGTAATCCACCTACTCCCTGGTACACATGTAATTAACAATGACTAAATGCCAGTAGTTTCTCTAAAGTACCTTTTTTATCACTTAGGAAAAAAAGGATATTTTTGAAAATTTTTCATTAAACCTGGGAATTATTTGCTTTGACAAAATTTTTAGGATAGCGGTAATGACATGGCACTATGCAAAGTCCCCAAAATATGAATTTAAAATTCGGTCCTATAGCTTAACCTTGATGCATGCAAATTAGTATTCTGAGCCCTATTTTTCTTCTTTATAAAAGATCATAATATATATGGTATTTCTGCTTCATCAGTTATGTTAAATAAATACCAATCTAAAACACATTCAATGTTCACTAAATGAGTATTGAATCTAAATCTTAAAACAATTACAATGTGTGGTTTGGGAGGACAATTTGTAACATTGAATGTTTCATAATTAAAATTGAGAATAGACTTCAGTTCTTCCTTCCTTCTGTAGTAAGCTATGGAAATACTCCCCACAGATCAAACTTGCTGAACTAATCTATTTTTATATAAAAATACAGGCATTATTTGCATTGATCTTTTAAATTTTTAGTTTACAATTGTGAAAATGAGTGAAATAATAAAATTGTATCTTAATAGTTTATCTCAATATTTCTCATTTTGACACCTGTTGAAATTTGAGGAGTTCTTTTTATATTATGAAATGATGAAAGCACCCTTGTTTCTTTAAAATGTCATAAAAATAAAGCTTGCAGTGATATATAAGGTTCACAAACCCAATATAATGTATTTTTATAACAGCATGAGTTCATAAAAAATTATGAGCTTTACCTTTACAAGGATAGTATATTAAAATGTTGCTTAGTTTGTGTGGATGCTTAAAATAGTAGTCCCCATGAACCATATTCCCTGAGTGTGTGTCACCTTGCAATGTGACTTTCTGGCTTTTTATCCACAAAGAGTAGAAATCTACTTCTCCAGCCTTGAATATGGTTTTCCTTGTGGTTTGCTTTGACCAATATACTGTAACATATGATATCATAACGAAAACACTGAAAAGCCATGGAGCTTCTGCTATGTACTCATATTAGGAGCTTTGTTTAGCCTCTCTGAGGATGGAAAGTCATGTGAAAAGTGAGGCATATCTATCCCAGCATTGTGCCTATTCAGCTCCCAACTTCCTTACCCATCAGCTCACTGAATCATACTAACCCAAACTATGTTGAGAAATAAGTTTTCTTTGTTACAAAGCATAGGGATTATTTGTTTTTTTTTTTTTGTTGTTGTTGTTGTTTTTTTTGTTTTGTTTTGTTTTTTTAATTTTTTTTATTGGTTGTTCAAAACATTATAAAGCTCTTGACATATCATATTTCATACATTAGATTCAAGTTGGTTATGAACTCCCAATTTTACCCCAAATACAGATTGCAGAATCACATCGGTTACACATCCACATTTTTACATAATGCCCTATTAGTAACTGTTGTATTCTGCTACCTTTCCTATCCTCTACCATCCCCCCTCCCTCCCCTCCCATCTTCTCTCTCTACCCCATCCACTGTAATTCATATCTCTCCTTGTTTATTTTCCCATTCCCCTCACAACCTCTTATATGTAATTTTGTATAACAATGAGGGTCTCCCTCCATTACCATGCAATTTCCCTTTTCTCTCCCTTTCCATCCCACCTCATGTATCTGTTTAATGTTAATCTTTTCTTCCTGCTCTTCCTCCCTGCTCTGTTCTTAGTTGCTCTCATTATATCAAAGAAGACATTTGGTATTTGTTTTTTAGGGATTGGCTAGCTTCACTAAGCATAATCTGCTCTAGTGCCATCCATTTCCCTGCAAATTCTATGATTTTGTCATTTTTTAGTGCTGCGTAATACTCCATGGTGAATAAATGCCACATTTTTTTTATCCATTCATCTATTGAAGGGCATCTGGGTTGGTTCCACAGTCTAGCAATTGTGAATTGAGCTGCTATGAACATCGATGTAGCAGTATCCCTGTAGTACGCTCTTTTAAGGTCTTCAGGGAAAAGTCCAAGAAGGGCAATAGCTGGGTCAAATGGTGGTTCCATTCCCAGCTTTCCCAGGAGTCTCCATACTGTTTTCCAGATTGGCCGCACCAGTTTGCAGTCCCACCAGCAATGTACAAGAGTACCCTTTTCCCCACATCCTCTCCAGCACTTGTTGTTGTTTGACTTCATAATGGCTGCCAATCTTACTGGAGTGAGATGGTATCTTAGGGTGGTTTTGATTTGCATTTCTCTGACTGCTAGAGATGGTGAGCATTTTTTCATGTACTTGTTGATTGATTGTATGTCCTCCTCTGAGAAGTGTCTGTTCAGGTCTTTGGCCCATTTGTTGATTGGGTTATTTGTTTTCTTATTGTTTAATTTTTTGAGTTCTTTGTATACTCTGGATATTAGGGCTCTATCTGAAGTGTGAGGAGTAAAAATTTGTTCCCATGATGTAGGCTCCCTATTTACCTCTTTTATTGTTTTTCTTGCTGAGAGAAAACTTTTCAGTTTAAGTAAGTCCCATTTGTTGATTTTTGTTATCAACTTTTGTGCTATGGGTGTCCTATTAAGGAATTTGGAGCCCGACCCTACAATATGTAGATCGGAGCCAACTTTTTCTTCTATCAGACGCAGATTCTCTGATTTGATATCCAGCTCCTTGATCCACTTTGAGTTAACTTTTGTGCATGGCGAGAGGAGGGGATTCAGTTTCATTTTGTTGCATATGGATTTCCAGTTTTCCCAACAAATCCAACAATATGCTGCCTCCAGGAGACACATCTGATTGGAAAAGACATACACAGGCTGAAGGTGAAAGGTTGGGAAAAAATATACCATGCACACGGTCCTCGTAAGCAAGCAGGGATTATTTGTTTTTTAACAATAGAATACTAACATCATATGTGATAAAATAGTAATTGCTTTATTTTTAAGTCGTCTTCACTGGATGATATTCATTATATTCCTAACCTTGCATTTGCCTGAATATTAAATAAACACTTTTATAATTTTCACAAGATATGGAATTAGACATTCTAATTTCCAGTACATAGCCTATTTTTTATTTATTTTTTTAATATTTATTTTTTAGTTTTCAGCGGACAAACATCTTTGTTTGTATGTGGTGCTGAGGATCGAACCCGGGCCGCACGCATGCCAGGCAAGCGCGCTACCACTTGAGCCACATCCCCAGCCCAGTACATAGCCTCTTAAACTTCCACTAAATTGTGGAATTCCTGCCATTAGTAAATGTAATGCATTTTTAAAAGTGAATTCATTTTATTAAAAGATGTGTAAAATGGATAAACTTAACTTGTTTATGCATTAAACATTAGAGAGCAAAACACAACAACAACATAGCAATTATTATTTTATGCACACTTACAATTCAGACCTTTTATACTTCTCTTGTGAAAATAAAATTATTGAATTATTACATTCTTATTTGAATAAATTTTTACATAAGATTTTTTTACATGAGATTTAGGCTATTAATTATAATTAAAACAGTCTTTTACACTTTGATCAGATCCAATAAGAAAAAGTTCTGATCCATGTGGTTTGAGCAATAGAAAAGATAAACTTTCATTCATATTACCAAGAATGGAAGCTAAACAAATTAATATAGAGGGAATCAGCAAGAATATTTATAAAAGATATCTGAATATAAACTATAAATCACAGGCAAATTCACATAACAGAAGAGTATAATTCACAGAATATTTTCCCTTTTTATAATAAATTTATCAAAGTACGTGATTAAAACCAGACATTCTAAAGTGAGACATTGTTTTGGTGAAATCTTTGTTCTACTGTGTATTAAATACAGGAACTCA